TTTTTTTTTTTTTTTTTTTTTTTTTTTTTTTTTTTTTTTTTTTTTTGAAGTCAGTACTTTTACGTACTTATGTATTTAAGCCCACTAATCATTCGCGGAATGTTTAAGAATCAAGTAAGTCGATATATAAACCCACAGAGAATATAAAAATAAATACAAAATGATTTCATTCAATCAATTCAAATTATTTCAATTAAGTTAATCTATTAAAAAAAAATGTTGCATTAAGTTGAAAGAAAGAACCATTATTTTCTTATCATGTCCTTCAGAAGTGATATTCATATTAAAGGGTTCGTCGTCATCGTTTCACGGCTCGCCTATGCTCTATGCAAGCATCACTTAAAATAATAAGTCACTAGAAGCAAACGATAGACTCTGGGATTAAATCGGGTGAACATTGACGAATAATGGTAGCGATCTCACTCTATTTCATCGAAGATTTTCTTCGGTTTAACGAGTACTATGTAAACCCATTGTCATTCGCCTGACGATATGTGTGTATGTGTTTCTTCATCATTAGTTCTTTTAAGTGTTTCGGAGCACAGGTCAATTAGACTATGGACATAGCTAGTAAGCTTGCTTTAAACCTAAATTATAATGGAATGTTTCCTCATATGTATATATAAATATATATATACTCATCTCGGCATATGAAGATAACGTAACTTCAATTATTAGTCAAAAAGTTTTTCGTAACGTGACAGAATTTTAGTTAATTTCAAGAATTGTAGATTTTTTCGCGTTATCGTTGTTTACTGCAAACTTTACGGGGTTATTGTTTTGGAACGAAATGCTTTCATATAATAATTTTTATAATATATTTTATATATAGTTTATTTCAAATGATTGGGGAAGAATTGCTTTGCTCGTGTGAACAAATTTTTTACTGACTTGAGCTTACAAAATGCAAAATATCGCAAGTACATAGAGTCAAATATGGTGAGAATTTCTTTTTCGGTTTTCTAACAAGCTATTAAAACCGTTTTTCTTCCTTTTTATATAATATATATATATATTTGGTACTTTGAAAATCGCTTACTATATACAAACTACGTAGATGCGCACACACACACACCAAAAATAATAATTGTCTAAACTAAACCAAAGAGACAACAGCTTATCGTACAGCAGATTAAAAGTAAGGAAACGTTTTATTTTTGGCCAGGGTATTACAAAAAAGTTAGCTGAATGGGTGATAATAGAACCAGATCAAAATCAGTGTTTTGGTGATTGAAGGAACGATACCCGGTCTTTGGTTGTTGGCGCTAGTCTATTTTACTGTGCTCGCACGCAGGCGGATATATTTGTACAATTTCTTACGTCCCATCGAATTCAATGAAGCTAAGGTTAATTCGATCCAAATTCTATTACTAAAACTTTTACTTTATTACGGAAATGCCACTGAAGTAAAACATAGAGTGTAATAAATTATTTTATGAGTAAATTAAGTTTTTGAAGTGTTTAATTGCATTTTGGAGTTTTTGATGAATTTGGCGCAATAACAGGAATTTTAAGATCGATTTTTTAAAAACAAACCTTATAGCACACCGAGCACAGACAATCTGTGGCGGGATTGCCATAGAAAACGCAACCAGAGCGACACATCGGTTGCATTGGGTACTGTTGGTAGTGTTCTTACGGTATTGGTATTTGTTTAAATTAGTTGTGTTTATAATCACTTAAATAGTTAGGGATTTTGCAAAGTGTAGGCAGAAAATAACTTCAAAATAAACTTAAAGTGAGTCTTCGGTGATGATGAGGTTGACGACGAAAATGAAAACATTAATTTAAAAAAAAATTTACGGATGAACGGTAGGTTAGAGATTTTCTTTCCTGACGGATCAACGATTAAATAGCTTTCGGGTCAACATTCAAGTCTAAACAACAATTAGGCATACGAAATGTGTGCATGCAGTGTGTGTTCAATTCATTGAATGAAGAAAAGCAAAAGGAAGAATTTTTCTTCTCGGTATATCCTCAAGTTCAGTTAGCAGAAACACTCCTCCTCTTTGTTGCGTTTCTTTTTTTTTAAACTTTTCTAATAATTATGTAATAATGATATTTTTGTTGGTTTATAAAGAACAAAACAAAACGCGAAAATAATCGATGTTCGACTAATCCACGGAGAGGTTAAGCCAACTTCACGCAAAGGTCGATTCATTCTTTTTAATGCAATATAAGGACCAGGCCAATAAACGTTGCAAAAAATATGACCTTTTCCCTTATTATTGACATAGTGCGCGAGAACTACTAATACTTGCAGATTATGGAATTTATTAAATCACAACACACATCACGAAAAATAAATATATTAAATATGTTCATGCTTGAATTTTCACAATATTTGACGACCCGAAATTGTGTGAGCAAGAGGAAGAATTGAATTTTCACAATATTTGACGACCCGTAAATTGTGTGAGCAAGAGGAAGAATTAAATTTCACAATATTTGGCGACCCTTAAATTTGGGAGCAAATATATATACGTATACATATTTTATATAAAATCACTATTCGAATCCTTTCGGTCATATGCTATACTTAGCATTTGAGATTGAAAACGGATACTTGTTACATATATTTTTAATTGGAAAATACCTCCGCCTTCACCTATTGTAGAAATAGTTTGTACAGAGAAGCGTTCTTGATCGTCCAACTGAGAGGGGCAACAAAAGTCTTCTTAATGCTTACGTGCGTTGTGTTTAGATGGTGACAGTGATGGATTGGATATGCCTCATAACTTTTTCATGCAAAAAAGTTATCATGCTTCTTTTTTATATTTACTTTTCTTTTAGTAACCGGAGATGGTCGGAAGATTATCCCAAACATCAAAGCGTTGGATTACGCGAAGCTATGGCTACAGGATAGAAAAAGAAGAACTTTTAAACGAAAAGTTCTACAGAAGCGTTTACCAATTACGCAATGGTTTCCCAAATACAATATTGATAATGCGGTTGGCGATTTAGTGGCAGGTATAACAGTTGGTTTAACTGTTATACCCCAAGCCTTAGCTTATGCCGGAATCGCAGGATTACCAGCAGCGGTAAATTTTTTGCCTAAACGAAAACCTTTTGTCCAATTTCTATAAATTTATCTTGTTCTTTTTTTTGCTATATGATCTATAGCACGGTCTTTACGGCTCATTTTTAGGTTGTTTCGTTTACATATTCCTAGGTAGTTGCAAAGATGTTCCTTTTGGGCCGTCTGCCATAGTAGCTCTATTAACGTATCAAGCTGCTCAGGGATCATGGCAAAAATCGGTGCTCTTATGTTTATTGTGTGGAATCGTTGAATTGGCTATGGGGATATTTGGTTTGGGTTTTCTCATAGACTTCGTTTCGGGTCCTGTCTCATCTGGATTTACATCGGCTGTGTCTCTAATTATTTTAACATCACAAATAAAAAACATTTTGGGTATAACGGCGAGAGGTGCAACGTTTGTGGAAATATGGACCCAAATTTTCAATAATATTGGCGAAGCCAGATCGGCCGATACAATTTTAGGCCTAACATGCATTGTAATATTATTAATTATGCGGGTAAGTAAATAACGTTAATAATATACGAAATCATTATGCATTAACAAATCTTCTCTATCTTAAATTCTATCTTATAGCATTTCACATCTTTTAGAATCGGTCCCGAAGAGCCCCTCTTACGTTCACGTACACAAAACGTTATTAATAAAATAATTTGGGTTGTGGGCACTTCCCGCAATGCTATTTTAGTTATCGGCTGCTGCATTATGGGTATGATCTTGCGAGATGATGAAGGCACGCCGTTCAAAGTAATCGGATACATACCGCAAGGACTACCCAGTTTCGCATTACCCCCGATACATATAAATGGTAACGACACGTTTACAGGCAAAGAAGAGACATTTGTTGAAATAGTGAAAAGCATGGGCTCGGGTTTAATTGTTATACCATTGATTTCTTTAATGGAAAATATCGCCATATGTAAAGTTTTTGGTAAGTTTTAACAATCACAAATACAAAAGCATTTAAAATATCTTTAAAATGGCAGGTAACGGTAAACCGGTGGATGCTTCGCAAGAACTCATAGCAATCGGTACTGCAAACATAGCCAATGCTTTCGTTCAGGGTTTCCCAGGTACAGGAGCCTTAAGTCGTGGCGCTGTCAATCATGCCAGTGGTGTTCGAACTCCGCT